AAAAAAAAAAAAAAAAAAAACTCGAAAGACGCTGGACGAAGCAATTTCGCAGTGTGTTTTACGTCATGATCAACGAGAAATTTGTATTTGTATTTCGCGCGCAAAGGTTGGCGGGGAGGAAACGTTTAGCAGCAATGTAGCATCCGGTTCCCGGCAGAGCAGCAATTCACACGGCGCCCAAATCTCAGTTACAAAAGGAATAGTCGAAGGTAAACGAGATGATAAAAATGTATTTCCTAAACGTAGGTAGAAATTGGTAACTTTGACTCACTCATTGAAAAAGTATTTCCTCTTGCCAATCCGGCATTCGTGCTTTCTCTCTGCCCGTCGTTTTTGGGTTAACATTTGTATTTCGCGCTATTTCGTCTATACCGTGGCAAACAGCATACTTCAGTGTTAACCAATCCGTTCGAAGTGATGGTGCGTGTTTGAATGTGTTTTCCAAGAAACATTGTGTTAACAAGAAAAAATAAATTGATATATTCGCCGATTTTGATGGAGATCGAGTGCCGATGAGAATATTTCGGTGAGCGAAGCAGTGGTAAGACTCAACGTAACTTGGTAATATAGCTACAACAGTTGTTTTAATATTACGTGAAACGCTTAACGGTATCGAATGTCGCGGTCTGAAGTTTGAACGAATACATGGCTCATTCAAATGTTACATGCGTAATTGCCTCAGTAATTTTATCATCTAGAATTTTGCCACCAATAATTTCATAATCACGATCAGTCGTTGCAAAGGAAATACAGATTTCTTATTATCATTATCACGGCATATACGAACAATCGATGTTTAAACAACCGAGCAAAACAATACACGTATAATTCATGTTGTTAATTCGTATTATAAGATTCCGAACCATACACGGCTGAATACACATCCAGTTGCGTGTATATCGTTTAAGCTCGATCGTGCGAATGGCACAGGATTAGAAACACTGTGACGCCGCTTGACACTATATAAGAACAGGTATAACACGGAATTATACAAAGAGACAGGACTAGTACTTTCAACGTAGTTATTATTAAACCTTTCGTACAATATGTACAAAGTTAAACCCACAAACGAGAGG